AGGTTTGGGGGGGGATTAAGAGACCAACTGAAGGGACTTATATCCATGCATATAAAAATTAACCAATGGCCCCAAGTTCTGTGCGGAGGGGCGGGGGGTAGGGGTCGGGGGAATGTCAAGGGGGGGAAAAAAGGAGACATATGTAATACTATTTGTAATACTTTAAGAAATAAAAATTATTATTAAAAAATAAAAAAATAAAAAAAAATAAATAAAAAATAAAAACCAGGGGCGGCCCAGCCGGGTAGCTTGGTTGGTTGGACATCATCCTTGTGAAAACAAAAAGGTTGTGGGTTTGATCCCTGTGGGGCGCCTATGGGAGGCAGCTGATCGAGGTTTCTCTCTCTCCCTCTCTCTCTCAAATCAATAAAATCATACCCTCAGGTGAGGGTTTAAAAAAAAATCTGGTGCGGACAATACTTAACCCAAAGGCGGAAGCACCCATGGGGCATTTTAGGTGCCTTCACGTGTGGAGCAGGGAAGGGCTGGGACCACAGCGTCCGTCACCACTCAGGTCTGACTGCACTTCCTGGTCCATCTGCCCCCGAGGCTGACGCAGCCTGCCTGCCTCCATCCCTGGTCCTTTATATCCCAGTGGGTGGGTGGGCAAGAAAGAAAAAATCTTTATGGGCACCTTTAAGTACCAAACATTGAGCTAGATTGGAATTTTTCCAAAGGCTCTCTCATTTCCTTCTTATGCCAGGTAGGCGTGCCCATCACACTTTTACAGTAGAAACAAGTGAGGCCACTAGCGGTCAACTGACTGCAGCTCTTCTTCAATATCCTCTCCCTTCTGCCAGAGCCGTGCTTCTCAACCCGCGTGAGCATCAGTCACCTGGAGGGCTGTGCAAACATCGACTGCTGGCTCCACCGTCAGGGTCTGACAGGAGATCCAGAGTGGGGCTGGGAATTTGTTTTCTAACAAGTTCCCAAGTGAAGCTATTGGTCCAGGAACCACACTTTGAGAATCACCCTTTTATAGTAATAAATGATCAGCTGGGTATAGGACAACCCTGCTAAAGACTACATTTCCCAGTTTGCCTTGTGGCTAGATATGGTCATATGATCATTTCTAGCAAATAGAATGTGAGCAGAAGTGGCGTGTGCAACTTCTGGGCCTTAAAAATGAGTGCCTCCTCCCTTCTCTTCTTTACTGGAATGTAGGCTAATGGCTGGAGCAGGAGTAGCCATCTTTTTTTAAAATATATTTTTATTGATTTCAGAGAGGAAGGGAGAGGGAGAAAGAGATAGAAACAACAATGATGAGAGAGAATCACTTACTGGCTGCCTCCTGCACACGCCCCACTGGGGATCGATCGAGCCCGCAACCCAGGCATGTGCCCTTTGCTGGAATCGAACCTGGGACCCTTCAGTCCACAGGCCGACGCTCTATCCACTGAGCCAAACCAGCTGGGGCTAGGAGTGGCCATCTTGTATGTCAAGAAGAAAGCTACATGTTAAGGATGGTAGAGCAACAAGGCGCAAGAAGCCTGACATTGTGGGGTCCCCATACTTCCTATGGCCTTTTTGTGAGACAAGAGCAAGACCTTTATTTTGTTTAAGCTCGAGTATGTTGGCGGCTCTGTCACAGCAGCTGAAACAATGTACTGAAAAATTCATGCTTGCCCGGCCAGCATGGCTCAGTGGTTGAGCATCAACCTATGGACCAGGAGGTCACGGTTCAATTCCCGGTCAGGGCATATGCCCCTGTTGCGGGCTCTATCCCCAGGGGAGGGGGGGGGGTGTGCATGCAGAAAGCAGCCGATCAATGATTCTTTCTCATCATAGATGTATCTATATTCCTTCTTCTCTGAAACCAATAAAAATATATTTTTTTAAAAAACAAGAAAAATTCATGCTTAATAACAGCCAACTGGAATGTGGCTTTCTCTGGATGGCCCTCCAGGATTCCTTCTCTCTCTCCTTTGGGTTCTCACAGATGCTTAAATACACCTCACTCTAGCCACGTATCCAGCATTGCAGTAACAATATCACTCATAACTACAGCTGGCCTACAGCTCTTCCTCATTCAAACCTCACAAGAGCCCTGAGATGTGGGCACTATTATTCCCATTTTACAGATGGGGCAATTGAGGCCCGGAGAGGTGGAGTCCCTGCATTCCCACTCAGACAGCTGTGCTCTGCCCTTCACTCTCCGCCTCTTTGGGGGACTTTTCAAAATCTTTAGATGAGTGCCAGCATAGTTCCCTTATAAGAGCTTGGCTGCTGGCTGCTGGCTGTGGCCACAGGGCACGGCCCAGGGCAGCAGCCAGGTGAGATGCTGCAACTCACCATAGACCCGCTGCCACCAAATAAGCAGAGCGGTGAATCCACAGAAGAAGAAGACACAGCCCATCACTGTCTTCCACTCGTTGGAGCGACGATTCATCTCCGCGAAGGTCTCATGGAACTGGAGCCGGTACACTGGAAGCAGGTAAGGGAGAGGGGGTGGTGGGGGAGGGCCTCAGGTGTAGCCATCCCAAGTGCCCCAAGCCAACTCTTGGTCTGGGGATCTCCCGCCTCCCCCTCCCTGCATCAGATGCTGTCCATCCAGCAAATTCTTATCAAGCATCTATTGTATGCAAAGCAGGGCCAGGAACTGGTAGCCCAGGGCCCTTCTGGTGGCCATAACTTGGAGTCACACTCTGCTCTGTCCCCTCACACTACTCACTCAGTGCTGCCAGAACCCTCCATGCTCTCCTGCCCCCCTATCTTTCCCCATGCTCACTCAGTACTGCCAGAACCCTCCATGCTCTCCTGCCCCCCTATCTCTCCCCATGCTGTTCCCACTACCTAGCAGCACCCTCCTCCTCACCATTCAGGGCCAGCTGGAACGGGCCTTCCTCTAGATGGCCCTCCAGGACGCCATCTCTCTCTCTCTCTCTTAGGTCCTCACTAACACTTGAACACACCTCCCCCCAGCCACCGTCCTGCATTACAGCTATCCGGGTTGATGTCCATTCCCCCACTGGACGGGGAGCTCCCTGATAGCCGGAACCATCTGGGGGATTCACTCCTGTGTCCCCAGCATCCTCTAGCATCAGGCTATGCACAATAGTTGAGTGAATAAAAAGAATGAACAAATGAATGAAATTCTCCCCTTGGATATGCATTCAGGTGTTTGGGGGTTTCTGGCTGTTGTGGGTGGAGGCTCGCCCGTCCCACTGCTCCCTGATGGGCCCTCCTTTGCAAAGCCACCGCCAGCCCACTCTCCCCAGCCAGTCCCCACCCGGAGACCTACAGGCCACCTTCTCGGCATGGCTCAGCTGGGTCCAGCTGCCCTTCTCCTTCTCCTTCAGGGCCCGCTGCTCAGCGTTGAGCTCTGTGCAGAAGGGCTCGTCTGGCATGGGGTAGGAGCGCTGGGCATGGTAATTGGTGTAGGGGGCAATCTTCCCCTTGCTGTGGGCTGTGGGTACAAGGAAGGAGCTGAGTTCAGGCTGCCCCTGGGACATTCCAGCACGAACCATAATATTAATAGAGAGGGTTGCATTTACTGAGCACTGACTGTGCCAGGAGCCATTCTAAGGCCTTCAGGTAAGTTGACTCATTTACTCCGCATCACTCTGAGCCAGGTGATGCTGTGACCTCCATTTTACAGATGAAGCCACTGGGCAGCAAGTGACTTGCTAAAATTCACAGAACCAGAAGGACCAGGGCCAGGGCTGCAATTCAGCCCCCCTGGCTTCCAATCCTGTGCCCCCCGTAAAGAGGGCAAGTCCCGCAGAGACAATGGTGAGCAA